GTATAATTATGAGCCTTTAAAATTACAATAATACAAAAATATTTTCATATATATATATATATATATATATATATATATATATATATATATATATATATATATATATATATATATATATATATATATATATATATATATATATACATGTATGTGTGTATAAACAATAAACAGAAGATTTTCGAACATTGGTTCCAGCTCCTTAGTGCAATAAAAATTAGTTCAAGGTTTAATTCTTTTGAACACTTGTATAAAGAATAATCTAAAAGAAAGAGGGCAAATTCATGCCTTACTGCTTTACCTACATAGTAGAGCTAATTAAATGAATTTTCTGAAAATTTCAAGTAATTCCTTTGAAGTCTAAAATCTAAAAGTGCCTTTACAGTAAAATGAAAGGTATAATCAGAGATTTATTGTATAAATGAATGATATGCCCCTTCAGTAAAGATGGGTCACAGCTCCTAAAAACTAAACTCTAATACTGCTGTGGTGTGACTGCCTGCCGAGTCACGCCTGTCAAACTTCATTTCTGCCTTACATTATAAAAATCTATAAAGCAAAACAAAGAAGCAGACAAAGATGATGTTCTGCAAAATGCATCGTCTTGGGTCCTCCTAGAACTCTTATCATACAGATTCAGACCTACATTTTTAAAAGTTCTTTAAAAGCTGAGTTGAGATTTGTGCATTACTGTAGAGAAATTACCAAAGTTTTCTTAATCCTTTATTACATTACTGTTCATTCTGGAGCTCCTTTAACCTCACACTTTATGTTTACTGGTTGAGTAATAGCAGATTTGTAGTAGAGCTTCAAATCTTTCACTTTCAAGTAGAAAAGTGTAAACTCTTAAATTTACTTAAAGTATGAAAATAAAAGTAGAAGAAAGATTCACCAAGGAAAAAGACCTCCGCTTAAAATCGCACAACAAAGGAGCAAACTGGCAAGTTCACTAAATCTAAAAACAGCTTTCTTTCTAATCTCTCAGATGTAAGCTAGCATGATAATAAGTCTGACAATACAAGCTAGCTGTCTCAGTACAAACTGCCTTGAAAAATACAATGACATAGCAACCAATGACTCTAGCAACAGATGGATATTAGGTCTCAGTCTTGCTGCCACATCTGCTTTGATTTATTCGGATACATACATTTTGATTTGTTAGGAATTTAGATCAAGCACCATGTTGCAAATTATTATTATTATTATTATTATTATTATTATTATTAAACACTACTATTTATTAAATATATTATTTATTTATTAATATTGTCATTACTATATATCATTGCTATTATTTATTATATATCACAAGTGTGCCACTCCGTTTAATGTCTGTGATGTGTGTGTTGCAAACGGTGTTGAATGTAGTGTTGTGACCAAATACCAAGAAACATTCCTAATACATTCTGATTCTGGAGCTGTCTGTTGCTAAAAAGTCACATTACTACTTTACAAATACAGCATATGATTATACAGAAATGTAATGATGTTTTGTGATAATTGTGATAATTTAGCATGTAAAAAGTAAAGATTTGTCTTTTGAAATATAGGAGGTGGCCTAAAAGCCAAAAGCATTAGGTGAGAAAAAAATAACTAAAGTAAAGTATCGATAGGGAAAATTCAGGTATATTTGGGCATCAGGTGAATTGGGACAGTTAAGTTTAGCAGCATTTATTTTCTGGCCTGATAAGTGAAAGTCAAAACTTTTGTTACTGAGCCTTTTTTTCATAATGTTATAAAGTTGTCATGAATAGTTTATTCCACATATGCATGATGCATATATACATGAGATGTACTACTCTAACAAAATAAGAATAACGTTAGCTCAAATCTTGTGCATATGTTTATAATTTAATCATTTGCAAGATATCACAAAAATGACCAAACTAGGAAATGTTACTTAGGCTTACTACTACTGTCCTGTTCATGTAATTTTAGAGATTGATGTTGATGTTTATTTTTGTTAAATCCTGTATCATGCTGCCACTGCAAGAAACAAATTATAAATTGTTACCTTTTGGTGGTGGTGTTCTGCTGTGTTTATTACATCATCTGTTCATACTGAATTTTAGAAAACACTGGTTATGAATTTGGAAAATATTGAAGATTGATTTGAATGTTACTCAGGCCAATGCCTTAATATGTAGTCAATTTTGCTTAATCTTAATAGAATAGAATAGGTTAATGATGAACATTTTTAAATATCTCACTACTGAAACATGATTTATTGATGCAATTAATAAGCATGCTACAAATAAATAATGTCTTCAGCATAGAATTGTGTATGAAAGTAAAAGCCTAGACCAATGAAAACATGCTGTCCCAAACTACCAAACACATAATTAAAAATGGCTTCCAGTCACTCTTAGCAAAGGGGAAAGCCATGCTTCCTCAGATATATGATATAAACATTTTCCTTCATATGTAGATGGTCAACACCTAGGGGATTTCAGAAATGTATATGATATGTCGGAATAGTTGTTTTATTAATTGCAAGGAAAATTTTAGAAAATTTTAGAAAAATTGGGAATTCCAAATGTGTCCCAAAATATCTGAACTCACCTTAAGTAATAAAATAATTGTATTTTGTTACTTCTCACCTCTGCTTGGTCCCAAAAAACTCATTTACTTAAAGTAAAACTGAAGGGGTTCTGTTGGTGTGCAGAACCAACAAAAGTCATGCACTCACACAAAAGAAAACATGTTGTTACAGAACACAAGCCTCTAATTAGACTCCCATCTTAAATACATTCCTTAAAATATACTGTATGTTTAAATTTCAGCTTTGGCCATCCTGCTGTTTTTGTGGTCTTCACATTTCTGCTTTTTTTCTCCTGCTGAACCTGCAGGCTGTTAGTGATGACAAAAAACAGCCAGAAGAGGTCTCCAAGCTGCCAGCACACGATCCCAAAAAGTTGAGTGACAGCCCTGCTGAATGCATATTCTCCTGCAGCAGCGAGATGAGAAACAGCAGAGCCAAAAAAAAAAAAAAGGCTAAAAACGTCAAAAAAGTATCAGCCAAATGGCAATCTCTAGGATGCATGATGAAACCACACAGCAGTCAGCATGATGAGCAGAATAAGAATGATGCTCCACAGAATCAGCAGGGAGTAATAGAATAAGTATGAGAAGATAGCTGAACTGGATTTCATTGGTGACATTGATTTCAAAAACCTGTTGTATGATACTCACCATCTGCCACCTGCTACAGAGCTCTGAAAGGGAGCCATTTACAAGGAACAGCCTCAAGTCACAGAGGGCCAGCGAGTCAAAACAGCTGAGATTCAGAAAAAAAGTAAAAAAAAAAAAAAAAAAAAACATTCGAAAAGAAAACAAGTGATATGAGAAACTGTGTATGAATTTATGCAGGGTGAGACTTAGTGAGGATAATACTGACAAAAGAGGAAAAGAAACAACAATCTGAAAGTCATCTAAACTATCTAGGCCTTGAATAATCAGAAATATTGTGAACCATTAAGACAGTATCATTTCTCTTTATGTACGCCACGTATTACACCAAATGTCAGATTTCAGCAATAGTCACAAAATGTGAATATTAGGTCCTATCCATTAGAATATTAGGCGCTATTCATATTTTTTGCACTTACTGTATAAACATGCATATCTCTTGTAAAATAAAGTGCACAGTGAAACTTCTTCTTTCTCCTGATTCTTTGGCATATGCAATAAAAGTGTGTCTTTTGTAGCATTTGATCCCACCCTCTCAAATTTATGACGGTTTGCAAAATATCCGGAACTTACTTTGGCAATTATTTCTGGATTTTTCTGTATAATAAAAAAAGTGTATTCATAGAATTACCATCCTGAAAGTACTTAAGTATCAAAAGAAAGGAAAAGAGAAGTGTTTTAGGTCTGGGCACATTTGGGGCATATCTGAGACAGAAAGGACATGAACATCATAATGCAGCTCCACCATTTCTTGAAAGAATGCAGCAAAAGCATTTTAACAATTATTAAAAATCCAGCAATTTTACATTTTATACACTTTGAAATTAATTCAATGAAATTGAATTATTCTGTAATTCAATTACATTATCTTGTCTCCACAAAGTATGTATAATATGGCCATGAGATTGTTGTGTGTAATCCAGTTGGCACTTTTTGCATTCACAAGCCAATACATGAGCCCCAGTGCCCTAATGTCTGTGGTTAGCAGAGTGGTGCAGCAGAAGCGTGCTGGGCCCATAACCCGGAGGTCAATGGATTGAAGCCCTCCCCTGTGAAGAACAGTGGGTTTTAACGCCTCAAACACAGGTTCAGGCAGCTATGTTCAACTAGAGGTTGCAACTTGTAATTCCCACACTCCAACTAGGAAAAGTCAAGAATGTTATGCCGTTCTATTCATTTTCAGTGAAGATGTCTCCTTATACTGTTGACAATGTCTGCTGCTTGTATCTACAATGTTTACACCCATTACACTACCACATCACACTCACACTGTATTCGTTTCTTTTCTTACTTGTTTCATTTATAATAGTAAATTACTTTTAGTAAACTTCTAACTCTCTGTGCTGCTGTAATAGGTGAATTTCCCTCTGGGATGAATAAAGTGAGCCATCTATTTATGTGAACAGGGAGGTACCATTGGCCTTCTTTGTGTTAGGGGCATTGAAAATCGCTGTTCTTAGCAGAGGATGGTTTCAATCTGTCAACCTCTGGGATATGGGCCCAGTCTCCTAAACCAGGGATTGTGGTATCGAGTCCCATCTGCAATGTGAGTGCTTAGTAGAAGAGTGCTGGGCCTATAACCCAGAGGCTGATGGATTGAAATCATCCTCTGTTAAGAACAGTGATTTTCAATGTCCCTAACACAAAGAAGGCCAATGATGCCATGACATTCATTGGTAGACATTTTCTTGCTGTGTGTAGTCAGGCTGGTGTCATTTGTGTTCAAATGCTAATACCCAAGCCCCTGTGGTGTAATGGAGAAGGCGTTGCCTCCTAAGCCAGGGGTTGTGAGCGCTGTCCAGGCTGTGTGTGTT